GGAGAAAACAGGTGGAATGAGCAAGTTCCATTTAAGGAAAACAAGAAGATTCATAGGAAAGAGCCATGAGTCATAAGCCTGAGGTTATAAATGGCGGCCTGGACTAGCAGAAGTATTTTAGGAAGTATTTTATCGTATTAGTCTTAAACAATAAGTCATCATTAAAATGGGCTGCCGCAACAGCACCGTGACATTTGTAAGGCAAAGGGCACTACAAATAGCAGATGGTTTCTGGGAGCCTTTTTTTTGGCTCTACCAGTTCCTGTGCCTGTGGGGCATGGGGCCTGTCGCATCTCAGATGAGGAGGATGCAACCGCTCATCAAGGTAAGGCTGCCTTTCTCACAGTTCCAGGGTGACAATCTATGAAATAGATTACTTTCTAAAACAAAAATCACATACTCCTAACACTTAGGGAGAGAGAGAGAGAGAATTTGGCCAAACGACCAAACTAGTTTCTTCAATAAATAAACTGCAAAGGGGAAAAAAAAAAGGCAGAGGTGGACTCTAAAGATTAAAAGAGACTTAAAAGACAACAAGCCACAATGGATCGGCCTTATTTGGAGTCTAATTCAAAACCAATCACTTATAAAGAAATTTGAAAACTGACTAGGTATGAAGATGTGATATTAATTGATGTCACTATTTGAAGGTATAATGTTAGGATTGTTTTTAAAAAGTCCTTATCTGAGATATATATTGAGATACAGATAAAATATATCTGAAATTCGCTTCAAAATGATTCAAGAAAGGGGAAGTGGATAGAGATAGAGGTGAAGCAAGATTGGCTGTGAGCTTAAAATTGGGGCGTCTGAGTGATAGGCACTTGGAGATTCACTGCTCTGTATTGTTGACGTTCAATTAAACAACAGCTTTAAATATAATTTACATACCACAAAATTCACCCTTTAAAAAAATACAATCCATTATTTTTTTAGTATATTCAGAGTTGTGCCGCCATCACCACTATCCATTTTCAGAAAATCACCCCCAAAAGAAACCCCATATCCATTAGCAGTCACTTCCACTGCCCCCACCCCCTGGCAACTATTGTTTTTATTGTATTCTTGACTTTTGAATACATTTGAAAAAAGTTAAAAGGAGAGACAAACTCGCTCAAGGTCACATAGTGAAGTGACAGAGACAGGATCTGAACCCAGGTCTCTTGGAAAAAATAGAAGACAGACTTCAACCAACTCAAGTTTAGATGTTTCCCATCACATCGGCAAGCTCCCGACAGTGATTCTTGCCAGTCGTGAAGGGCTGACCCCCACGCTCACAGCTCAGATTAGAATGCTGTCATTTGCATGCCTTTTCTGAGGAAAAACAGCCTCGACCAAAACCAGAACAGAACCAAGGCACAAAAGTGATGATTTGGCCCTGGAATTACACAGACTCGCTCCTGCATAGAAATGAGTGTAGTTTCTGTGAATCAGGAGCCTGACTTCTCAGTCTGGTTATTTGGTCTTGCTACCATTTTTTCTGAATAAAAGCCTTTAGACATTTTCCTGTCATTCATTCATGTTCTTAAGGCAAATGAGTCTGTTACGTGCACAAATATTGCAAGAATTGATGATTCTAGGGAACTGGCTGGCTTTCATAATATCTCGCTGACCGAAGGTTGAAACAGCTAGAGTTCGAGAGAACCAAGTTCCGGAGACTCTATTGAGGTAACTATTTCCCCTCTTGACAAATATGCTACTGAGAAAAGTAATTTGGATTAATTTTTTTCTGAATCTAGTGAGTCTGATCGCTGTACTTTGATAGCTTGTAATAAATGTGCAGGAGGAGCTTTTGTGTACTGAGCTGGTTTTTATGTGCTTTGCTGTTTTCATGTGGATTTTCAGCTCTCAAGCTCCTGGAGTGGCAGTATTCAAACACTGGGTACTCAATACCTGACTTACAAAAGTACAGCTAAACGTGACTTAGAATAGAGGTCCCCGATCCCCAGACTGAGAACCGGTACCAGTCTGTGGCCTGTTAGAACCGGGGCCCACAGCAGGAGGTGAACTACAGAAAAACAAGTGAACCATCATCTGTGTCGGCAACCACTCCCCAGCACCGGCATCGCCGCCTCAGCCCCACCTCAGCTCATCGGGCACTGGATTCTCATGGGAGCACCGGTCCCTGGTGCCAACAAGGTTGGGGACCGCTCACTTAGAATGTCCAAAGCATGAAAGGCTTGGAGGAAATTCCAGGCGGCACTGCTTTCAAATCATCTGATTTATCAGGCAGATTTTAACCTTGTGAAGGTAACTCACAGATAGCTCTTTTGGTCAAAGTGGAATTTCATAAATTGCCAACGAACACATCTATACACCCTGATGCATAGATCATAAAGGGAGGGCTGGATTCTACATAATTAGTAGCGATAATTCAGTTTGATTCCCTGAATTTTGACCCCGAGATTGAGAAGGTAAAGGACTCAGAGGAAGACGTGAAAATGAATGGCAAGGACGTGCTACGGGGTAGAGGGGGCATAAAGCTGGAGGAAAAGGCTGTCGGCGGGAACTGGCTTTCCAAGTCTGACTCGTTTCTAATTTGATTCTCATCACGGTGGCTGTTCCGCATCTATTCGATTTTGGACCCATGATTCTTAGAGCTTTGTCTGGGAAATACGAGGCCTGGAGTCAGGACGTGTCCTTCCACGGAGAACTTGTGCCGGCTTCTGTAAGGCACTCGTGGCCACAACCCACTGGAGCTGCCTTCAACTCTCTGCTTGCGCTTCTGGCCTCACAGGCGCTGTGAATCGTTCCAGCCTTGCTTGGAGAAAGCTCACCGATGCGATTCTCAGAGAAGACCCTCCCCCTGCCAGCACCCCGGCCCCGTCCGCAAACCTGAGCAAGCTTTTGCAGGCTTTTTGTCAAGTTCTTCCTTTCAGAGGCAGACTCTTTCTGGGTTCTGGCTTTCTTTTTGCATCCTGATCAAAGTTCCCGCCCTGTAAAGACTCAGCTCAGAAATTGGGGCAAGAGGGCTTAAGAAACCAGCAGGGTGTAACCAGCTGACAGCCCTCCTCGCCCCCCCCAACACTTTCTGGTTTGGCCTCAGGGATTTCCTCCTTGCTTTCCTGCTAGCTCAGCTATCTGTTTAGAGCTTAAATACAAATTCTATCCAGGTTTGTACTACAAGTGTTCTTGAGAGTATCTGGTCTGCCATATTTTTAGGAACAGAAGTCTCCCCCCTCTAGGTAAATGCCCCCTCCTCTCCCAAATCTATTTATGTCATGATGTGTTTTTAAAAAAAGCTTCATTGCCTGAAGTGCACGTTGGGGATGATTTTGAGTAAGCTTTTTATCACAGAAAAGGAAGCTGCAGGCCAGAGAGGGACGCCTTGCCTCAGCATAGACAAGTCAGGAGTGGGGCTGATGCTGATGCCCCCCACCCGCCCCCAGCATCGCCCTTCCTAAAGGAAACCAGAGCTTAAGCCGGAATGATCTAAAATAATGAAATTACACGCGAGTCTTTAAGTTTGTAGAGAGTAGAGGGCAAAGCTGCACAGCTAAAGGTGATTAAACTATAAAACAAAGCACTAAAGAAACTGTAAAGTTTTCAGACCAGTTCAAAGTCATAACTGCTGTTTGAGAACTTACGTGCAAATATGGAAACAGCCACAGCAAACTCCAAAAAAAATGAACTAGCATTAAAGCATTATATATAAAAAATTTATTTTAGAAATCACATATCTTTAAAAAATAACAGATATTATTCACCATCTGAGTGCTGGGGTTTACGTGGTGCAGTTAACGATGTGCGGATACCAAGTCCATGTAACATTCCTGGCATTTACGCTCGTTCGAGACCTTACTGTAACTTTTAAAAGGGAAAAAGAATGTTAAAAGTCCATTTTGGAAACACACAAAAGTATCTTGATCTTGTAAAGAGAAGTCCTGAACCTACAGATCCATTGCTGAGACTATTCCCCAAACTGGAAGAAGTCGGTATTATCACTTTAATTCATCAACAGCTCAAAAGTCCCAGTGGAACTCATCTGAGGAGTGCTGAGTGGTCTCCAGTGCACGTGCCAAGAGCAGGAAAAACAGAAACGGTCAATCGCTCCTGCACAGTTCGACAGGTTGAAAGCAAAAGAGAAGTCAGAAAAACAAGTGGGAAATTTGGTAATTTTTTTGATAGAACTGGTTATCTTTGTTCCTATTCAGTAGCTTTCCTTTAATCTTACAAAAGCAGTACCCACAGATGGCCAAGTTCAGATACAAGGGGATCGGGATACGAAATCAAAATAAATTTACTCACTATGGACCAAAAAATGTAGCTCTTTGTAAATCTGAACTCAAACTCTGTGATTTAACATGTTAAGAATGCGTCGAATGGTTCAAAGAGTTAAAATGATCCTTAAGGATGACTAAAGCAGAATTTTTATGCAATAAACTACAGAAGACTTTATAATTCCTAGAGCATAAGACAATTACTTTAATCTGGTTAATATTTTTACTAAATGATCCCAAATGATATTTCTAGGCACTCCTACCCAGGTCATGAGGTATGTGTATTTGAGGGTAAATATAAACCAAAGTTGTGTGTGTGTGTGTGTGTGTGTGTGTGTGTGTGTGTGTGGTGGGGGGAGGGAGTTCCAGGTTCTCTGACCCAGTTGGAGATGAATCCAGAGGAATATTGTCGCCTTCTAAAAAGTTTCAAGAAAAAGAAAACTCGAATCAGTTAGTTAATTGCCAAAAAAAAAAAAAAAAAAAATCTTCTGAGAACACAGTTGCCGTGTACATCCACGATGAGTAGTTTTGGTTCATGCTGGAAGATAAGATTTAAAATGACGTAAGAACAAAGTCAATTGTTTTAATAATTCGTGAAGATAAGCAGCACCTCTGAGCAGTAGCGGGCTCACCTAATTTTGATTAGATTGAAGGTAATTTCCAAAATTACGTTTCCCATCAAACGGTAATAACCTTATGACAAATACATTTAGTGAACAAAAGCACTGCAGGTAATAAAAGGGTAACGTGGGAGGTCTGACGAAAGATGTCACCTACACATTTTCAGGAAAACTGGCCATTAATTTTATTGAGCTTTATCATCAGAATGATGTCACTTTAGAAAAGAATTGATAGAGTCTCTAAAATGGTTTTAATATGGCACAAAACTCTTGATTCTCAGAGCAGTATGCCTATTCATCTGCCAAAATGTATTCTGAAAGGGAATATACAGAGGGTGTGGACCAGGCACGAGAGACAAGAGAACCCGGTGGAGATTCCTCACGACAGAGCCACTTGAGATCTAGAAAGCACTTTAATACTCTATCCTTCTTCAAATGATCAGGAGATTCGAGAGAAATGGCAAGTCCTGTATTTACAAAAGCGATGAAAATCACACTGTAATAATCAGTGAATGCAGAACCGCACAGATCTGCGTTTCCCACTTTTTCCACCATGATTCTACATCAAGGTAAAAAAAGATTCTTTTGTCCAAATCCAAGAAGGCCGTAGAGGTGGCAGCCCCACTGCCAGAGATGGTGCAACGACTTACTACTGAGGCTGGTGGCTGACGGGACACGGGGAGGGAGGGGCCGGCTCGCGGAGAGAAGCCTGCGGCAGGACGCGGCCTAGTCGGTGGTGGACCTCCGGTACCAGAACCTGGCTCTGAAGTCGTCGCTGCACGTCATGAAGCCAGGGTTGGTGGGCGAGTGCACGATGCAGCGCACGATGTTGTTGTGGCCCAGCGACAGCAGGTTACGGCGCTCGGCCGTCCGCGAGTCCCAGCAGCACAGGCTGATGGTCCGCTCGTCCGGCAGCAGCACGTAGTCCTCCGTGTGGTTGAAGACCGCCTGCGTCCGGTGCACCTGCCGGCCGCTCAGGCCCGCACCTGCGCAGAGACGAGAGGTTACCCCGGGCGCCGCCCGCTCCCCAAAACGCTCCCCCGGTCCACACCCAGGCCCCCCGGGCTGCTCCGCTTCTGTGATTAAGTCTGTCGCTGGGAAGACAGCATTTAAAAAGTGTGGAAGTAGCACACGTTTATGGTGCGAGTTTGGAAACTCGGAAATTAAAGTATATATATAAAAAAATCACCTCTGGGCCAGCTACCCCCAGCAACACTGTTAACGTCCTGACTCGCTTCTAGGCATAAAAACCTTAAAATACAAAAGTTGTGTCACATACGTGTCTTTTCTATCATAGTTAAATCAACTTTCTGTTGGGTTCGAGTTCCCATCTTCTTACTTCTGCTAGGCGTTTAGTTTGTATCGAACTGTAAGTGATGTTACGATAACATTTTTTTTGTACAGAACACATTAGTTCCTCAGGGTTAAATCTCTAGGAACAGAATTACTGGAACATATGAGCATCCGCTGTCCAAAAGGAAGCTTTACGTTTCTTTTATGACCGTGAAAAAAAGATATGCTTAAAGTACTATATAAAGCATGAAAAAATCCTGCCTAATAGTTTTACTCCCAGTCACTACGTTGATGATTATCTTTCCCAAATATCTCTGTGTTATACAGTCACTTGTAAATTATATTAATCAGAGCACACACCATATGCAGTTTTTATTCAGTAGTATGTAGTGGAGATCTATGAATAGAGAATACAGCTTAATGGGTAAAAATACAAACTTGGTGTCAGATCTGGCACGACACCCACGCACAAGATTGCTGTGGGTTAAAGGAGATGGAACGCACATCCAGCTCTGCGGTGTAAATGCTCAACAAATGCTACTATGAATACTTTTAAAGGCTGCGAGCCACAAAAAGATGCGTAACAACAATGTACTCACTGCTTCTTGGTGGACATTTACGTGTCTAACTTTCCACTACCCCAGATAATGCTGGGAGGGACACCTTTCTGTGTGTGCATGTGCACGCTGGCCAAGAATCCTTCTAGATTGAATTTCTAAGAGTGGATTTAGCCAGACAAAAATACGTATACTTAAAATTTTGATATGTGACACCAAACTGCCCTTCAGAAATATGTTACTAACTGTCATTCCTGATTTCCTGAAACGTTTATCAATAATAGATAACAACCTTGTGAATTCCTGAAATCTGATGAGGACAAAATACCTTTTAATGTCTTAGGTTTACAGTGAGGTTGATTATTTACCTTTCCTTGTGTTCATTAATATCTGACATATGTCTATTACCTATGCTATGGGTATTTTCCCCCTACTTCGGCATTCTAATTTTGTTTATAGTGTTGACTAATTTTTAACATCAAAATTTGTAACGTTTACTTGGTAGTTTTTCCTTTTCCTTCATTATTTCATTTAGTTTGAATTCAAACTAAACGTTAACAGTGGAAACACAGATCCAAATGTGCCGACACCAAGGGGTCTTAACCTGTGAATTGGAAAAACTGGATTTTGCATACACATTTAGTGTAATCTCATTTTAAAATCAAATCCCAAATTCACATATAAAAAAATAAAATAAATAAATAAAATCCCAATTCTCCACTGAAACCAAACCACATACAACCATGAAACATCCCAAACATTCCTAACGAAAGCAAACCAAGCATAGTCAGCGGCCCGGCTCCCCCTCCGCACTCACCACACTCAAACTGACGCTGTTACTTCTAAAGAGGAGGCCTTCGCATTTTCCCTTTGATCACTTTTTATCTTGTTTTTGCAACAAGCAGTCTTTTCATAGTAATCATCAGATATTTTTCAAAATGGCTTCGTACAAAAGTAAGTGTTTCAATTAAGTCACCAAGAATTACGGTAAAAATAACTTGCTAGTTGCACCTACCGTCTGCACCAGAACTCAGAGCAGGAAGCAAACTTCAGTTTCAACGAGCTAAACCTAAGGTAGGTTATGCTGCACCCTAGTGGTTCGGATGTCACCGACTCCTCCATTTTCTTCCCCAAAATGCTAACTAAGACCACCATGGCAGAGTCCCTTTGAATAGTTTGTGACTTTCCGAGTTATAATCATGGCCATTTTATCATGACACAAACACCTCACAACAGAGGAAACTAGCTGAAGTTTTCTACAACATAACAGCCTTGGTTTCTACCAAGCAGGAGGAGACACGATCTTTTAACGTTCACTAGAACTAACTAGACTTGAACAGACTAGTAGTGACAGGATAAATTCAAATCTCGTCATAAAGAGCTCACAGGGACAACTGTTACAAATTAAAGCCCTACGTGAATGAATGAGAACCAGATGAACTTCATTTTGCTGTCCTGTCTGAAGGGCCCCCTTGATGCCTAGATCTGTAAGACCTGTGGTCTTCTTTGGGGGCCACCTCTGCTCGCCTAGGAATGGGTCTGCATTTTCCCTCCCAGCCCTTCTCTCCCTAATGTGTACACTTATCGCTGCTTTTCTCTGGTTTCGTGTTTTTATGGGAAAAGGGGAGGCCATCAGTCTACAAATGGACCACCAGGTTCTGAAATGTTACTTCTAAGGAATCAGATCTAGTTTAAGCTGTAATGCAGTGAGAAGATCAAAGGTAAGAAACTGTGGCTCTATTTCCAGTTCTGCCTCTTAGTAACTGTGGCCTTGGCTAAAATATTTAACCTCAGGCTTGTTCTCCTCCTAAGAGTTCTGGAAACTGTAAAAGGCTATAGAAATGTTAACTAGTATCAATTCCTCACATACCTGTGTATCTGACCAGCGTTCGTCCTGTTGATATTTCCCAAAGTTTAGCTACAGAGTCTTTTCCACTTGAAAGAATGTATTTGGAATTTTTGGAAAAAATGGCAGAACAAACTTCAGCACCGTCATGTGCTTTCTCAAAAGTCGTGATGCACCGATTCGAAACACCGTCCCATAACTTGATGCAGCCGTCCTTGCTACCAGTCACATACATATTGGCACTAGGATTGTAATTAACGGAACATATGGCGTCGGTGTGCTGATCTTGAGGATTGCAAGAGACGAAACACTGAAACGTGTTGATATCATAGAGCCGAAGCGTAGGATGCTGTGTCCCAACGAGTATAAAGTCTCCGGAAGGGTGAAAGGAGATGGAGCGTAACATTTCGGCTTCCTGTTAGGGCAGAAACGTTAACATTAAATGATCAACCGGTGAACAATTATATCCAGAGGAAATGTGGAAAATATTTGGCTGATGCCAAGAATCCATAAAACAACGGTCAGATATTACACAGATAGGAGAAGGGACAAAGTTCTTTCTGGAATACATGAACGTATCATTTGAACAGATTTCCAAAACTGCGTACTGGTGAGATTATGCCAAAAGCTGTGGGACGAGTTTATTTGCAAATGAGCGCTGAGTGCTCAGAATGGAATATCATCAATCTACGATATGTACACACACGATTAATGAAGATAAACGTAACTTGTATGTAAGGATAGCTTCGTTAATTTGTCCCAGGGCTCCAAATATTGAGTAAAAAATTAAGTTATTAAAAGGTGGAAGCCACTACTGAAACATATTTCTGAACTGCATTTTCAAAACAAGGTACCAAAGGTCACTTTTCCACCAAACACCCGATAGTTTCAAATACTGAGCAATATTTTATTCCCATGTTACAATCTGGTGAAGCTGGTCGTGTTCCATTTTTAAACAAGGATCTGCAACCTTTAAAGAGTGATAAGGATTCTGAACTCTTGGCTGCATGAACTGTGACCAGCAGCAGTCCTGACTGGCCAGAAGAAGCAGGCGCATGACAGCATGTAAATTATATACCAATGAAATCTGACTCATGTGCCACATGTGGCACATGTCCTTTTTGCTGGACTCTTGTTTTATAGGCTGATCACTGAGACTAAAGAGAACAGTCATACACTAGCTCACTGTATTTAGAGAAAACGTAAAGCTTCTTTCCAAAAATTCCTGACCTGAATGTATTTGAAGGCTCTTTTCGCAGATGGTTTGGAATAATCAAATAATTTGAGAGTATAATCCCTCGAACCAGAGGCAAGGATCTGTTCTGTTGGGTGGAAAGCGAGACATGTGACTTCATCCACGTGGTCATAGAGAGTCCGAATCACTGGGTGGTTTTCCATATTCTGCTGTGCAGTCTCATTCATCATGACCTAGACCAACAAGAAATGTGCAAAGTATAAAATCTGACTCAAAGTACACAATCTACAACTATGCTAAGTTAAAGCTGGTTTAAACTATTCTTTCATTGTCCCGTGAATGAACAAAAGGCAAAAGCTAAGTACGGTGCAGGAATTTTTACCTCTATTGGCATGGCACTTTTGGCCAACATTCTTTCTGTGTCGAGTATCTTTATGGAGGCATCAGCAGATCCAGTAGCTATTAACTGTCCATCTCTACTGTAGGTGGCTACACGGCATGGTCCTTTATGGGATGTGACATAGCAGGTTTCATACTCTGAAGCCTCTGGGGACATAGTCTGGACATCTGCATCAAATTCCAGGTCAATTCCTGTGCCTGGGGCCACCGTATCTGAGCGGCCAATCGCGTACTGAACTGCAGTGTCGTCATTTTCCATTCCTGAAAGGCATAAAAATTAAGGGCATGAAAAATGGTATTTTAAAAGGCCAAGACAAAGTTCCGAGTCTAAATCACAGGTTTGCCAATGTCACCTTACTATTTCTTGGAGGTACGTGACACCTGATACTTTACAGAACCAGGTATACTGACAAGGGTACATGCCCGGTGACACTGTGGAAGGCCACGCTCCAATAGGTAAAGTCACCTCCCCATGCTTTTTGCTTCTGAAATTCTCCACTTTAAATACAACTACAGAAACTGAAAATATAGTTCTGTAGTTAAATCGTCCATTTATTTCCTATTCCGAGTTCTAGTATTTTCAGCGCTGAGATGTCAGCAGCAGCTCTGAAGCTCATTAAGTCAGATGCATTGTTAGCGTTAACACTAGTGAATCGTATCTGAAGGAATGCTGATATTTAAGTAAGGTGAAGCTTATCAAGACTATGCGTTTTAAATTTTAAAATAACTTCACATATCATATAAACAGTATGTTTATTATCACAGAAAAATCAGAAATCCAGATGAACAATAAAAATGACCGTATATCACCTGGATATTAACATGGTGGTAGGAATTCTTCTGGGTCTTTCTCTGTGCACGAAGTTGTTTGATGTCTTAAAACAAAAACAGAACCACACTATATAGCATGTTGTGATTTACTTGTTCATTTATTCACACAGAATAAAACATCTGGCCAGTGTAGTAAATATTCATTTACGTCATGTTGTTGGATCCAATTTTATGAATATAAGAACATTTATGACTAATGACACATTTTTGTGCATTTCAGTTGTATTCATTTTATTTCCTCAGGACAAATTCTCACAGTCGGCACTGCCAAATCAAAGAGTATAAGCACGTCTGGCAATTGTATGTTTTATTGAGTGTCTTCCATGACCCAGGCAAATATCAGCAAATACTGTCAAACAAGACAAGGTCCTGATCTTTACTGAGGTTGTAGTTTTTTTGCGGGGGGAGGTGAGGATTACGTGGGAAATGATACAGAATAAAGAAATTTGGAGACAGTGACTATTAGGAAGGAAATGGGCTGCTTGTTTTAGAGTAACTAGGGAAGATAGTGGGGTTATTTTAGAAGAGGTAAAGAGGACTCTGAGATGACAATTTGAGCCAAGATTTGAAGAAATTCAATAATACAACGACAGAATGCTCCAGATAATTCGTATAAAGATCTTGAGGCTAGGACCAGCTTGAAGTCTTCATAATCGGGACTATGTTTACTTCTTCAGTCTCTAGCACTGTACTTGACACATATTAGGCATTAAAACTAAATGGAAATATCTTGAAAGACTCTGATGTGTAAAAACATCTGAAACCTTGTCATGGGATCAACGAATCTGCATTCCCAAGCTACCTAGTTTGATGAGATGCAGGAGCTGCTCTGAGGGTGCACAGACAGACTGAGGCTTGATCTCATTGATGAGGCCGTTAGCAATGCTGATGTAGCCGTCGTAGAGCAGCTGGCTAATGATCAGCTTGTAGAGCTGCTGGCGGTCCTTCAAGCCCACTTTGGTCCTGTACATCTTGGAGAAGAGGAACCCAACTTCTCACCAGCTGCAAGAGAAAACAGGTGGACGGTGAAGGGGAGATGCAACAAAGTTCTAGTGAATCGCAGAAGCAACAAAGAAACTGGATCAGACTTGTAGGGCTTAAATCTCAGCTCTGCTACCTGCATCATCTTTGATCAGCGACCTTGTTTCTGAGATCAGGTTCCTCGGCTGTTAAATAAGTTAGTGAAGGTTAAACAAGACAGTGCATGTAAAGCACTGAGCAGAGTGGCACACAGAAATTATTCAAATCATGTTAACTGATATTTACAGTAGAGTTTTTCTCTGCCAAACTACGCAACAGCAATTTTTATTCTTTCTTGCTAACCCAGAATCTACCACTTCCTCTTAATGTTGACCAGTGTTTGCAACTGATAGCTGCTGTTGTTGGACGTCTAGACACTACTGTTTCTACCAGCCGAGCTGTATGTTTAGTAATGTCAGTTATATTCATTCTTAAAACATGTTTTAAAGCAACTGAGGTTGTTTGTTATATTACATGCAGAAAGATAGTTATGGCAGAGAAGAAACTGGAAGGAGAGCATGGGAAAGAGGTGAATAAGAGAAAGAAAGGGAGTGAGCGAGCAGGAACACCAGAACCTCCCGGTATTGCTTTACTTTACAGGGGTTGTTACAGGAAAGCGGTGGGAAACCATGTTTTCTAACTACAGAACTCCCTCTGGAGAATTACTGAGGCTACTAGAACTTAGGCGGCTTGCCTCTATAGGGACCGTTGTTCCTGAACACTTTCTCTAGTGCTCTTTAATAACTTAATGATAAACTAGCTAAAATTTACTGACACTCAGTACAGTACTAACACATCACATAAAAAACTAATAGGCATTACTTCATTCAATCCTCATTTAATCCTATTTTAGAGATGGGCAACCTGAGGCCTAGAGAGATGAACTCACCCGGGATCGAACAGTCTGCAAATGGCAGAGCCTGGATCCTAACGCAGGCTATCTGACCCTGGAGCCTGTGTTCTTACTGTGCTGTACTGATGGGCGTTAATAACAACAGCTAACATTTATTAAGCCCTTGCCAGGCACCATGCTAAGCACTTTATAAGCATTAGCTCACTGCATAAAATAATCGTGTATTTTTAAGTACATGTAGAAGCATATGGACACAAATCTATGCTTGTGTAGACAAAACGAGGAAACAACAGAGATGATGCTGGATCGATGAGATTAAGAAACCCACTGAAAGTAAAATGTGGCCAAGTAACTCGTCCGACGTGAAAGTGGCCGCCAGGATTGTCCACACCAGAGCCCAGAACTTGACCGCTGTTCTACCCTGTCTATTCATTCACGCCAGGAGCATCGAGAGGTTTACAGAGATTTAAAAAATGGAAAGGGAGGATGAGCCCCGCTTCTCAACTCCCATAGGACGCTCTCTGGCTGGGCTAGTAAGCGCCTAATTACCACCCCCAATTTGCACGTGAGGACGCCGGGGGCCAGAAGGATCCAACCCAGGACTGGATCTTCCCGGAACTGGAAGAGGGGCCAGGGTGAGAACACAGACCGGCCGTCACCGTGTGCTCCGCCACTATGACAGCACAGAGGCGCACTAAGGACAGAGCGAGGCCTCTGAGAAAGAGCAGGGGTGTGCAGGCCCAGCCCGGCAACTCGGGGCGCACGCCCCGCGCTATCGCCCCTTCCCCGCTCACCCCAGCTCTTCCCGTGGCCCCTTAGGGGCCGCAGCCGACCGCCTCGGCCATTCCCCCCGCACCCCGGCCCCCGGTACCCGCTAATCCGGCTCTCGGCCTCCTGCTCTCTCCCAGAAAAATGGACGCCCAAGCCCTGCCGGATCGATCGCTCCGAGCGCACAGCCACTGCGCACGCGCCCAGGGCGCCGCGCCGAGCGCCGTGCTATCGATCGGCCCACTCTCGCCGGCCCCGTCTCGCCATCTTACTGGCGCCTTCGAGGAGTCCGTTCACTTCCTCCGACTTTATCCCCTACGTGGCAGTCCTGACGCAGAGGGGCTTCTGTCTCACAGAGCAAATGCCGCGTCCCGGAGAGCACGGCGGGCACCAGAACGGCCAGGGGTCTGCGGGGCCGTTGGCTCCGCCACTTCCGGGGCCCTGCGGAACAAGTGCGCCTGCGCGCCGTGGGCGCCGGCCCGGAACGCGACTCGCCGTGAGCCAATGAAAAGGCAGCGCCTCTCCAGCCCAGGCCAATCAGCTTTCGGAGCAGAGAGTTTAACTCCTATTTAAAATGACTCTTTGAATCCTAACGGCTGGGCTCTCGGGAGGACTCGGTGGCCGTGGGTCGGAGGTAGGAGCTAACAGGTGCCCGGTCCATGGAGCGGCTCTGTGAGGCGGGCGGGCGGGCAAAGACAGCCGGCCTGGGCGGCCTGTTAGCGGCCGGCGGGGCTGCCAGGCCGGGGATGGAAGAGTCGGGGTGAGAAGGCCTCCCTCGGTCCCCCTCCGTCCTACGCCTGTCCCTCTGTCCCCCGCCCCTCCCCGTCCTCCGTCCCTCCTGTGCTTTGTAGGCGCTCTCCCATCTGTTCCTGGGCACCAAGGCTCCCTGTAAAAGGCCTCTTGGTGTTCATTAAACACCTGGAATGAATGGGGTTGTTGGGGTGGGGGCGGGGGTGCCTTCTGATAGGATTCTCGTATTCAGTGAGCACCTGGGTAGGAAGGAAAACTACGTACCCAGGTGCTCACTGAATGAGAATCCCATTGCTGTTTTGGAATCTACGTTCTAGTGGGGGTGGGGAGAATTAGACGAACTAGCAAGATAACTTCCGATAGGGACGAGAGTTACAAAAGAAACAAAACAGTAATGTGTGTGGCTTACCGGAGGCTGCTTTGGATAGGATAGCCGGGAGAGGCCGTTGTCCTGCTAGACGGATGAGTGGGTGAATCGATGATGATCTCGTAGAGGTCTTCCTGGGCTAGCGCCTTTTAAACCTTAGGCCTCTCTTGTCGAGATTACTTGAGGGTCTTTGTTAAACATATAGACCCACCAACTGAATCTGAAGGTCTTGGCTGTAGGATTCCGGTGTTTAGTTTTATCATGCTCTCCAGGTGATTCTGATGTTTCATTGAGAACTAGTAATCATCTAGGATCTGATCTGTTAGGTCTGGGGTTGGGCCTGAAAGTCTCTACCAGCCATCCTTGTGATGTAGATGTAGCTACTGCCCTTGACTTTTAATGTCTCCTCTTCCTCAACTTTTCTCATCTGAATTAAATGCTTTTCAGCAACATACTCATTTCATTTCCTCTCTACTCTTCTTCATTTATGCAGATATTAGTGGGTTCCTTGAAGGAGGGAAAAGTCTAAACCCACAGTGCTATTAGATCTATCCGTTTCTCTGTGTAAAATAGCAGGATCTCTGGTTTGAACTGCGGGAACCTTGTGAAGGTCATCTGGTCACGTGACTCCTGAACCTGGCTGTAAACCAGAATCACCTGAGAAGCAGTCTTCCTGGGCGATCTCCAGAATTTCTGGATCAAAATCTTATTCCATTCTGCTTATTATTATTAATGTTCCTGAGAAGGATAATAATATTAAATTGGAGGAAATGTCTGTAGTTTCTGTGGAAGAATGTTGACTACATGTCCTTAGGGCTATGTGATCTCATTAGTTTGTTGCTTATAATTGATAGGAAAAGTGGAGAAAGCAGTAGGGCGTGTGAGAAGTTAACGTTTGCATACCACCGGCATGTATCCTTCTTTTTGTTTATTGTTTCTACTAACCCACTGTTTGATGTAAGGACTCTAGGCTCTTTAGCCACCGTCTCATCTTCAAGGTGGAGTGATTTGCATATGCATGAAATGGATGTGAAAACCTGGGAGTAGGGAGTGCTTTCTGATTAGATTCTAGAATTCAGAGAGCACCTGGGTAGGAAATACAGAAAGGTTTCTGCTTTCTTGTTTATGGTCTACTTACTTGACAGGTTGGTGCCTGACTCACAGTATTGGCTTACTAAGTATTATAAACTATTATGGTCGATTTGCATATGTTAATGGATTAATTTATTCCCCAGACATTGGCATCCAGGCCATGTGCCAGGCATGTTCTGGTTTCTGGGGGAGGCAGTGAACAAAATGGGACTAAGCCCTTGGTCTCTTGGAGCCTACTTTGGAGATCCTGAGCAGATAGCTGGACTTCTGAGTCTGGGGAGACAGACAGTAAAGAAGTACAAATAATAAGAAGTTAAATAAAGGCTATGAAGAAATAGTAAAGGAAAGATGGTCCAAAAGGGGACATCTGAGCAGAGACTGAATGAAATGAAGGAGGAAGCTGCATTTCTATTATGAGGAATAGCCTTATAGAGGGAACAGGAAGTGCAAAGGCCCTGTGGCAGGGGACCTCTTTGAGGAAAGAAAGGAACCCTGTATGGCCGGTGTGCAATGATGAGGAGATAAGGTCTGAGAGTGGCCACTGTCCACCTCCTGAGACTTCATAGGCTTAAGTCTAAGCAAAGTGAAGAAAGTAGAAAATTAGTGATCGAGCCGGTCATGCTGCCTAGAATGCAAGTAAGATGGAGGCGGAGAATTGACATTTGGATTTGGACAGTAGGGGTCAGTCATAATAAGGTTGACTGCACCCGCTCCAACTCCCTCCTTGCTGGGGATAAAGGCCCCAATGGGAGTGGGCTTGAGGGTGAGAGAAGTAAGTAGCAGGTAGTAGAGATGACCAGTGGACAACTGTTCCAGAGCTTTGCTGTTGAAAGGGGAGGCCAGAGATGTCATAGCTCGAGTCAGTTAATGGGTAAAGAGGTTTTTTTTTATTGAGCTGCAGGCATGGCAACAGGCTTGTGTACTCGTGGAAGTGATCTAGTAGGAGATGATGGAGCAGAAGGAGTCATTTCAGGAGTGGATTTTGAGTACCAGGGAGGGGAGGGGATGCAGTGTATCGCGTGTGTGGGGGGGCGTTATGGGGAAAACGCCCACACTTGAACATTATCTAAGCCCCACACCTGTACATTATATCACATGAGAAAATATTGCTCCGTATCAGCTTCATTTGGACATAGAAAAAATGAAAGTCTCTTGTTGAGGCTTTTTGGTCAAGAGCTATAACCTGGTCTAGCATAACTACTTTGTAGCAGGTGGGTTTGTATAAATCAAGGTTCTTTTTTTCTTTTCAGGCATCATGGACAAATCTAAAGAAAACTGCATCCCAGGGCCTGTTAAGGTAAATCGAATAATCCGCAGTCTCAGTCCTGTCTCTGACACCCAGAGGAGGTCGCTTGTCTACCTGGAATTTCTTTCACCTTCCCTTTGGGTTTGTAACTTTAGACCCCTCCCCACATTCCTGGACGTGAATTCATCACTCCTCTCTGCTTCAGCAGTAACATTTTGTCGATTCTCTTACCGTATCTTTTTTTTGTTCTCCTTTATCTTATAGTTAACTGTTTGAGTATCTGTATTCTCCACTGTATGCAGGATAATAATGTACACAATAGGCGCCTAATACTTGCTTGCTAGAAATTAACTTCTTTGCCACAGTTCGTTCTGATCTCGATTCAGGGAGCAGTAAGCACGGAGGGATGCCAGGTGGCATGTTAGGGAATTTCTCCTGGGACCCCACTTGGAGCTGGGTTCTGGGCCAGATACAGGGATGATGGTGGCGAGGGCACATGGTCTTTGACCTTGAGGAATTTAGAGCCCTGTTGGGGAGATGTGGGAGCCAATACCACACCTTATTACATATCTGTAGGCCTGGAGTAATTTTGAGGAGGGCGCTTGGTTCAGGGTGGGGCAGGTTGGAATCCAGGAAGGCTTCACGGAGGCAAGGTCCCTGGGGCTCTTAGCGTTTAATGAGTATTTGCGAAGCAACTGAGTGAATGAGTCTCTCGTATAAAGATCCTTTAATATAAGTGATCCCCAGCGAGGTTTCCTTCTAAGAAATCAGCGTAAGAATAATATTGCTTGAGTTTTCTTTGTGGGGTGGGGCTCGGGGTTTTTAGAAGTCTTTAACTTCAATAAATGGATACTGACCCTTTTTTACTGGCTGAAGGTATAAAATGGCCAGTTAGAAAAAAGTTAACCCGAGTCACTGTTTTGATTCTCAGTTCCTTTGATAAAGATCATTTGAGAAAATTGCTATATTTAAAGTACTTCTTTATTTGCCACCTGAATGCCTGTGTTGTAGTGCTGCTAATTTTAGAAGTAATTGATTTTTTACTTAGAAAGCCTCTCGTAAAACACTTGTGCCAAGGGGCTGGTGGGGCCTGGCGCTTCCTTTCTCAGCGCTGTTTCATCATGTATTAGGAAGACTCCTCCGTGGAAGCTGGAGAAAGTCGTCCACCTCCCCGACGGGATGGGGTGTGTTCAGGGTGGCGTGGCCATAGACAAATTAACTTTTTCAAGTTATGATATCCTACTTACAGGCGTGTAAATCATGTATTTTGGTGATAACTCTTTGAAGAACCTATGTTTGTTTCCTTTTTTTGCCAAAGTTGTTTTGGCTCAGATTAATTTTGTCACTAGTACATGGGAAATGAAACAGTAAATAATAGATGCTTTTTGTGGAAAATCTGGCAAATACAAAAATTCAGACTGCCTTTCAAAAGTTCTGTCTCGAAGATAACCACTGTTGAACATTTTGATGTATTTCTTTCATGCTTTTTTTCAAACATGTATTATCAAAGAAATTTCAGTGTAATTGGGGTTTTGGTATTCAGTTTCTATATTGAAGCTTTTTGCTAAATGATAATTTCCAAGTCCTTGTGAATTCTTAGTGTTTGCCTCCTCATTTAAGTGGAAGTTTAGTTAATGATCATTTGTTCATGGGAACCTGGTTTTTAGGGTGGGGTGTTGGGGAGGGCTTAGGAAGTGCTGTTCAGGTGTTCTTTCTGCCAGGTGAGAAGCATATTCCCCGGAAGTGCTGATTGAAGTAGGTTTCCCATTTCATCTGTTCTCAGTGACAGTCATTTTGTTGTACTAGGAAATAAACTTTGTGAAATTCCCAGAATATTCAGCTTTTGTTCGTGAAGATCCTGAAGTTTTTTTCGTCTCCCTCCCAACCTAGACTTCGGTCCCACCTGGAGATGGCCCAAAGCGTGTTCCGATGGCTCAGCATCCCTTATCTGCAAAGAGCGGCCAGGCTCAGCGGGTCTTGTGTCCTTCAAATCCCGCCCAGCGAGGTCCTACGCAAGCGCAAAAGCTCGTCTCTGGCCACAGACCGGCTCAGAATCTGAAGCAGAAGCAGTCGCAGGCGACCAGCGTCCCTCGTCCTGTCTGCAGGCCACCGAATAATGCTCAAAAGAGTGACCAGCCGCAGCCACCAGCCCCTGGTAAATCAGCTTTTTGAGACTCATCAGACAGTCATCATTCTTCCTAGTTGCCAAAAAAAAAAGGGGGGGGGTACAGGCTCGTGTTTAGTATCGTTTGGGGCCCTAGCTTTTACATCATTTCTGCCAAGGACGAGGAGAAAAATTCGATGTCAGGTTGAAGCAACGATCTGTCTTGTGGGCCAGGCCGGTGCTAAGAATACAGACAGACCTGATTCCTACCCTCATGGCATGTTTGAAGAACTGAAAAGTTCCGAGGTTCTGCAGCATGGAAGAAAATCGGGCAAAGTGGGTAGATCGAGGCGGGTGGGGGTGAGGCCACGGTGGGCACTGCCGGCTGTGCTGGGGAGCGGGTTTCATCCCCTGTGTGATGGGAAGTTGCCAAAGGCTTTTGAGCAGAGCAACTGACCTGCCTTTTGGAAAGCTTTCTTCTTGATGTGAGGGATGAGTAGGAGAGAAGCAATGTTGGGCCCAGGGGTACCAGACAGGCTGTTGTGGTTTTGGTAGTGGCCTGAACCGGGTGGGCAGAGTGGATGTTAACAGTCACTGCTTTGCATTTGTGGAGTGCTCACACAGTAGGCTTTCAGGTGGTGCTGTCTTCATTTGATCCTTGTAACCGCTCAGTGGAGGTAGTTATTACAGGGAGGAAGCTGAGACTCGGAAGCATTTACTTATCCACAACCAGCCAGGATGGAGAGCTGCAGACAAACTGAGTGCTCACGTAGGCGCACACTGGGTGGAACTGGCCAGTGAACTGGACATAGGGATGGCGGTATGTTGATGGCAGTAACTGAGGGAGTGACCCATAGAAGGAAAAGCAGTTCGGCCCTGCATTCAGCCATCTGAGGAGACCGTGCCGGGCTGCAGTTGGAGCTTGATGTGCCAGAGAAGGACAGAAGGAGAGGTCCCGTAAGGACTCCAGCTCATGAAGTGGTGACTTGAGCACCCTGGTGTACGATTGGTTTGCTGTACATTTTGCTGAATTGGTGGCTTCTCTTTACCCTTGACCATGAGTGTAGTGGAAGGAAGGTGGCCGGCTTAGGTTTCGTTGCATATTGTTGATCGTATTTGTATTTGGCATATGGACAGTTGGCTGGCCTGCCCGTGGGGAAAAGGTGACGAGGTGGGAGGTCATCGTGGGTGGGAAGACTGGTGATTCTGCCGTGGAAGCTCTTCACTTGGAAATAGGCTTTAGGGAGAATCTGCACGGTCTCGAGTCTTCACATTATTGGAAGGGCTAACTGGGTATCTGCTCATCTTCACTCTAGAATCTGTGGACGTCACAGGCTGCAGTCAGGGTAAGCTGTGGGCTTTCTATATATAGAGAAAACTGAAAATGGCCCAGATCTACAGTGCTGAGAATACCATTGATATTTTGGTGACCATTCTGTGATTCATTTCTATTCACAGGTTTTTAACTTATTCTGTATAGTTATTCTAAATTAAAGATAGTTATTCTAAAACTGATTTTTTGTTGTATGTAGGAAATAATTCTGAAAAGGAACTGGCATCAAAACAGAAAAACGAAGAATCAAAAAAGTAAGCTTTATTTTATTTACCAGCTTCTGTACTGTCATTCGATTAGAATGTACCATTTCATTGCAAATTTAATTTTGGGAACTCTTAAAAAAAAAAGATCTTTGAAAATACAAAAGTTTCCAAATTTCTAATCTTTATTCAAAAAGAATTTTAATGATGGATGTTTACTTAGGGACTCGTTTTTTTTTTTTTTTTAAATTGCTTTTCAACTTTAGAAAAAGCTCGGGTGACTGTTACAGAAATGTGTAAAATAAAAGTTTTTCTCTACCCCCGAAAGTAACCACTACATGTGGTTTATGTATTTCTATACTTTGTCTTATGTAAAAGTGCAGGTTTGTCAGAAAATGCGGTCATGTCCCAGAACTGTATGCACATGTATGACAGTATTTCCTAAAAGCTTGCCGTCAGTCTCTGAACTGTCTGGATTCTAGAACGTGCTAGGAGGAGCCAGGAATGAGCCCACAGACTTCTGCTTTCACTGCCTAGTGGAGACTTGCTGAGCATCTAAACCCAGTGGTTCTCGCCCCTTCTCCCTCGGGATCCGTCCGTCTGCTCTGCCAGCGTGGTCCTCCAGCCCAGAGCGTTGGCATCGCAGGGTTGGAGGAGGGGAGGCTGTGGTCAGTTTGCAGAGGCCCACGGTGGTTCTGGAGCATTCTTCCTCTTCCATTTACTTCCTAATTCTTTCTATGATCTCGAGCGTTGTTAATAGGTCTGTACCCCCAAGCATTGCACCGTCTTGGGACACACTCCAATGAGTGTTTCAGCTCTGAAAGTCCAGAATGTCCCTTGTCACTGACCCACAGCCTGGCAGGCAGGTGGGGTGCTGGGGGGTTTAATGTCTGTGACGACTCAGTGTGGTTATTGGCTTGGTTCTTGCAGAGGGTACATACCAAATGCGGCAAACGTAAAATTACATAGAGTGTGTGTCTACTACTCAATTGTTAGAAGAGATTTGTTTTCATTGTAAAACGATCCAATTCCTTTCTAGAAGGCAGTGGGCTCTGGAAGATTTTGAAATTGGTCGCCCGCTGGGTAAAGGGAAGTTCGGTAATGTTTACTTGGCGAGAGAAAAGCAAAGCAAGTTCATCCTGGCTCTGAAGGTCTTGTTCAAAGCCCAGCTGGAGAAGGCAGGAGTTGAGCATCAGCTGAGAAGGGAAGTGGAGATCCAGTCTCACCTTAGGTGAGTCTTCGGGCTGATACTCAGAAGCGCGGTGCACAGAATTTAAGTTAAGAGGTAAATGAGAAGACTTGCTTCAGAGTCCTGCAAAGAGTGAATAAATTTGTCATTTTTCAAAGATTTATCTAGACTTAGGTGCTGCGGGCCTGAACAATCACTTTAAGGTTTATGTTAATGGAGTAATTTACATGAGCAAAAATTGTTTGTTTGTTTTTTGTTTTGAGCATATTTTTTTTAAGGGGACTGATACCTCCTGTTCTGGGTTTTGAGCAGAGATTATGGGCAGCCTGCAGGTGACTTTGGCCAGTGGGCCTTTCTCTCTCTCGCTCTCTCTTTCCTTTCCTTTCCTTCCTTCCTTCCTTCTTCCCGTCTCGTTTTTTCAAACTTGAATCAGTTGCTAATACTTAAATATCCATCTGTGTCGTGCCTGTCCCCTTACTTGGCAACAAGCCTGAGTCGAGAAGGGCCGGCCGATGGCTCAGCTCAGGTGGGCTGTGCCCTCAGCTGCCGGAAGTCAGTCCCCGCAGCAAACATCCAGCACCATCCTGGAATGCTGCTTTCGGGTTCCGTCTCCAGCGCGGGGAATCAGGCTACTGTGGGAACGCCATGTCTCTCTAATTCGCAGGGAATTAATGTTCAGCTGAATTTTTCCCCCAAAGAATAAAGTTGCCCTAGAAGAGGGAAAAAATAGTCTTAACTAAACCCGAGGTCTATGAATACCTTGAAATGTGTGTAAACTGATATGCGGATCTGTGCATTTTGCTTGGACTGGGTCTGTGGTTTCAGATTCTTAAGTGGGAGGGCGGGGCCTGGGAGCAGAACCAGTTTTTACTACTGGTTTCACACGAGGGGCTTGTTCGGTATTTACAGCATATTCTTGTATTTGCTTTAAAACCAGGTGGTAGAGTGTTTATTCTCTGTTGCAGGCATCCAAATATTCTCAGGCTGTATGGTTATTTCCATGACGCCACCCGCGTTTACCTCATTCTAGAATACGCACCCCTTGGAGCTGTCTATAGGGAACTTCAGAAACTGTCCAGGTTCGACGAGCAGAGAACTGCCACTGTGAGTTTTCATTTACCGTGAGACTAATTCCGTTTCCTCTGTACCTCTCTTACCTGGTGGTGTCCCTTTCGTGACATAGATGGGTTTTGTTTTATGCAGAGATAGTTTAGTAGGGTGCGAGATTCAAAGTGGAGAAATCAAAACAGCTGTGTTGTGCCCTATGCATGGATAAGACCAGTACCAGGTGGGATATCGTGGCTGGTTTGTTTTCACAGCTGTTTTTCTGTGGAAACGTGTATAAGTAGTTGCCCTCTTTTTTAAGAAGAATAATTACTTTAGAATAGTTTTAGATTTACAGAGTAATTGTGAAGATAGTACAGATCTATTTTCTGCTATTACTACATACTTTTCCTGTTAACATATTACATTAGTATGGTACATTTGTCATGACTAATGGACAAATACTGATACACAGCTAAAGCCCATACTTTATTCAGATTTCCTTAGCTTTTCTCATGATTAGACCAGGGTCAGTGGGATTTTGAGAGGGAGCTCGCAGAGGTCAGGTGCATTCTCGTCCCACGTGGAGGGTGCACACGGACTTAGCCGTGGGTCCTGGCTGTGATCACGGCCGAGGCCACGATTCTCCCCTGTAGAGTTGCTCCCTCTCCCGCTCCGTGCCGTGCTCCTCGGAAGGAGTCGCCGCACTCACTCCCGCGTGAGCCGTGGGGTCGTGACCTGCTCCACAGGGTGGGGCATCCGCTTCCCCTGGGGGCTCTGCACTGGAGATCCGGCCGTTCTCCCTGCGTGTTCACTCAGTCACTTATTACCAGTGACTCGTCGGTGTTTGATAGTTTGAGTTATAGTCCAGTACTTCTTTATTTGTCTTGCTTTGTCCACGGGGAGCTCTTTTATGTTGTTCCTGTGGTTTTTTGACACACCCCATCTTTGTGGGTGTGTGGTGGTGGCTTTGTTTTTAAGTGCTACCCTGCTTTCTGATACTACAAGACACTCCAACCTTATCTTGCAGATTTCCTATCCCCGTCCTAGAATCAGCCATTTCTCCAAGGAACCCTGGTTCCTTTTATTGGAAAATGTCGTTAGAAACCAAGATCTGAGCACTAGATGTGCTCATTGCTACTGGAGTGTCATTACTGGCAGGCTCTCAGCTGACAGCAAGGAAACGTGTGCATACTGATCTGTGTATACGCAGGAATCAACATTCCGTGTTTATCCTCTGTATCTATATTAAGCACAGCACGAGCCCGTTACCCCATGGATCCTCGCTCCTCCCCTTGGTCTTCTGTGACCTTTCACTCCAACACCGAGAAACCTGGACCCCACCGCCTTCACCCGTGTGTCATTCAGTGCTCGCGGACGCGTCTAGTGGCGTCGGAACTGTCGAGCGGTTACTCCGCGGGAAACGGCTAGTGCATGCATTTAAGATTCATCTGCGTTGTTTCAGGGGTTAATAGAGCTCACTTCGTTTTATTGCCGAATAATATTTCATTGTAAGGATGTACCTCAGCTTATGTCCACCTACTTAAAGGTATCTTGGTTGCTTCCAGTTTTTGGTGATTATGAATAAAGCTAACAAATTTGCATAAGTTTGTAGGGCATACGTTTTCAGATCTGTCAGGTGAATACCTAGCGGTACAGTTGTTGGCTCGTACGCTGAGATCACGTCCAGCTTTGTAAGAAGCTGTCGAGTTGTCTTCCGAAGTGGATGTGCCGTCTTTGCCTTCCTATGAACGGACGAGAGCTCCCTTGTTCCTCACCCTCGCCAGCAATTGGTGCTGTCAGCTTTTTGGGGTTTCAGTCATCATAATGGGAGTATAATGGCATCTCACTGCTTTCATCTGCAATTCTCCAGTGACATGTGATGTTGACCATAATTTCATGTGCTTATTTGCCATGTCTAACATCTTCGAGGTGTCTGTTAAGATCTTTTGCCCGTTTTTATTATTTTTATTCTTTATTTGATTATTTATTTTGCCCATTTTTTAATTTTTTTGAGTTTTAAGCATTTTTGTATATTTCGGATATGAGTCCTTTATCCCATGTGTTTTACAGATGTTTTCTCCCAGTCTGTGTCTTTCACAGCCAGAAGTTCACCATGTTTTTGTTCTTGTTTGTTTTTTTGTTTTGTTTTTTTTTTAAATGAAATTACTTATTTGAAGAAGTTGGAGAGTCTTAATTTGGGCTCTTTTTTATTGAATCAGCAGCAGATGATGGGCCTGTTGAATGGTGATTACTTTGATTTGTTCTGTTTCTTGGAGATCTCTGGGTACTATGTACCCTAATTTTCTTTCTTTTTGGCATTGATTAAAGTGGCATTGAATTTAGGTGTTTTACTTTTACTATCTGAAATCACAGTACTATTGGTGAATGACTCTCTGGTCTTGTGTCTTCCATGAGGACATAACTATTTGAAATAATCTTAAATGTTTGCCTGTTGGATACGTAGAAATCTACTTTATTTGCTTCTTAAATATTAGCTAACCAAATTAGTTTCTTATTTATTTGGCAATTAATATTTATATTACTTGTCAGTTTTCTTCAATCCAGATGGAGTTCATTTTGGCGTAACAGATAACTATTTGAAAGAAAGTAAAAGATTGGTTCTTTCTAAGATTCTGTGGTAGTTAGGATGAATATAGATGAATATATACACACACCTGTTTTCCTTTTCTGATTAATTTAAGTAAAACTAATCGTAGAGAAATGTTAGGGACCTTCGCACGTACCCGCACTCCAACGTGGAGGCGTGGAGGAAGGTGTCGGAGGTGCTGACTCACTAAGCTGCTTGTCGATCTGAGCAGGGAGAACCCATTGCCTTCTGGGATTCCGATGCGTGCTCTTAGAGCATCGGTTCCAGTCTGGTGTCATGGAAGAGCTTCCTGTCTTCACTTTCCGTGTATTATGGTCTAAATTTTGGTCTCTGACTTTGGCTTGAAAAAGTGAAAAATGTCCTTTTTGACAATAACATTTGGTTTCTGTGCATTTGTTTCGTAAACCTTCTTGGTGTAATGTTCAGTCCTGTCTAGCAATTACTTTGGAAAACAAAGCTTCTCAAACTCTAGAGCTAAATGTATCCTTTTGGGATAGTGAATAATGATTCTTATCTATAAGTTAAAGCAAACTCTGGACTTGCTAGCTCTTTGAGAGAAACAGAACTGAACACAAGGGCTGGCTGGCCCGTGTACCTTCAAGGTGGCGGAGAGTCAGAATGCCCCAGACGTAACACGCTGTCTGATGTGCTGGTATACCTGCTTCTATTCTGTTCATGGTTCAGGATTGGTTTTTTTCCCTTGAGAGTCTTAGTGTAAATTTTTAGCTTCGAACAAATCCTTTTGTTGTAAATTGATCTTGGCTTTAAAAATGGGAATTGACTGTACTTGAAAGATTTTTTTAAAAACTGTGCTTCTTTAAAATTGTTTACGTTCGACTCCCTAATTTGTACTTGTTGTTCAGTATTGTCTTAATTCAGTGCTGCTGGCCACAAGTTGTCATATGGGGATGTAGTTATAGCCCATCAGTGTTTTCCCTGTTTTTCTGCCGTATTAGCAAATAAGTAACTAGCGCTGAATAACCTGTACTTTATGCTGAACACATTTGGTTCGATTGATTTTTTTTTTTCCTGAGTCATCAATTATTCTAGCTTTAGCTTTAAATCTACATAATATAAAAATCTATGCTGGGTTTCCTTTCAGAACAGATGTCTAAAATTAACTTGTTATATAGAGTCTAAAGCATAGACTTTCAATACTTTTTTCTTTTTTTTAATAGTATATCACAGAATTGGCGAATGCCTTGTCTTACTGTCATTCAAAGAGAGTTATTCATAGAGACATTAAGCCAGAGAATCTGCTCCTGGGATCGGCAGGAGAGCTGAAGATTGCGGATTTCGGGTGGTCCGTACATGCCCCTTCCTCCAGGTATGTGACTTCAGAGGTAGAGCTTGTTTGGTTTAGCAGAGGCCTCAGGGGCTACTCAAGCGAGGTGCTTCAGTGTCGGGCATTAGCTGCCCCGAATTGGGCGAGCGGCTGACACTGTGCTTTGCAGTAATTTAGGCCTGCTAGTGAAATTACTGTTTTTCAAGGGCGTTTTTATTGCACCTTAGGCTTGGGGTTAAAGATGCTTAATGTCTTTAGAGGCTAATGAATGGGACAGATAAGTCAGCAGATATGACAAGTGTTTGACAGAGAAGTGCAGCCCACGGAGAAGCGGAGGGGGCCACCTGACGTGGTGGCGGGTGGAGACCAGGAGGCAGACGGTCCAGTAGGCAGCCGAGGAGAGCTAGGCTGAGAGCACGGTTCTGCGGGGAACTTGAAAAACCAGACGACTTTGGATGGAACTCTCAGGGTGGTGGTTAAAGGTTCTCTTTGGTCTGCGATTGTCAACAGAATAGTCCGTTCTTGTCCCCTCGTAAAGCTAAAGCAGAGGCATCAGCCTAAGGAAACAGTTTAAAACGAAGTGAACTTTGCAAACAAGAGCTCAGATATTATTTACTCTTTCAAATTTAATTTGGGGTTAAATAAGTTTTGAAACCTAGGGCGTTTAAAAGCATACATTTACTGAGAAGTTTGTCAACTTCGGGGTAGGACTTAAAAATTATAGCCAGGTTACTTTAAAAAAAATAAAGCCAGTTAAAAAAATTGTGTAGCCTAAAAGAGGTGTCAGGGGGTGGGGTGCGGGGGTGAGGGGTGGCTTTGTTTTGTTACAGACCACTTCTAATTGTTTCTAGCAAAGCATGGAATCTGCTCTGCAGTTTTATTTTTTAAAATCTGGTCATCTGTCACTAGTGGGCGCTGTTGGCACCTGGCGAGGCTAACAGCATGAAGAATTAATTGTCGGCTCTGTGACATCACAGGCTGACCTGTACCTTAACTGTCCAGGTGGTGTCATTGTGAAAGATCATTTACCCTTTTCTGAAAGGGACATTTTTGTAAATGTTGGTGGTCACTCACTCCGCCACTAAACATCGATAACCATACGAGCTTCCAGGTCATCGTGTGCCGTTGCTGGGGAACCCCCGACTCTGTCTCTGCCCTCTCAGTGGTGATGTGAGGGCTTAGATGGGAGGTGGCCCTTAATGCCAGCTCACCATTTAGTTGAGTGAACACGCGTGTGCTCGCGGCACCAGGCGTGGTGAACACCTCACCAGCATCGACCCAGCACAAGCTCTGATGGCAAAGGCTGACTGACGTAAAGCAACAAAAACCTACGTGGTCTCGCTCCTGGTTCGTCTGCCACCCCCTGCCGCTTATTTCCGGCCTTTGTTATAAAAACTCACTCAAACATACAGAAACGCTGGATTGGTCGTTGGTCGCTCACGTGGCCATCCAGTGCCAACATTCAACAGTTAACATTCTGCCTTATGGGCTGGTCCACTTTTTTGGTGAGCCTTCACAGATGAGTTGCAGACATCATGATGCTTTGTTCTTGAGCACTTTGCTGTGCATCTCCTAAAAACAGACATTGTCCCATCTAATCCCAGCCATTATCACTCTTAAGAAAGTTAACGGCCTTGGTAGCAGCTAACATTTAGTTCACGTTCACATTTCCCCAGTTGTCCACCAAGTTTTATAGCGGTTCTTTTAAATCAGAATCTAACCAAGGTCCATGTATTATATTTGATGTGTTGGTCTAAATTTAGACCCGTTGCCCCACAGTTGAAAATAGATTTTTCTGATTGGGTGTCACGTGCTCCTTCATTCTGTTTTTTTTTTTTTTTCCTGAAAGCTGGGAATTGGGCCTAAGGGCTTGAAGAATATTTTTGGCAAGAATATGTCATAGGTCACCCTCCAAATTTCTGTCTCTCTCGTACCAGTGGTGTATCAGAAGGCAACATGTATCTATAACCCCAAACCTAGTCCTTTCACAGTGAGACAGTTTTTGTTTCTTGTCATTAACGTCACCTGGCTCTTAAGCTTCTTAGCATATCTGTAATGTAAAAACATATAGACCATTAAACTGTATTTACAGAGAACATTGCATGGCTGCTTTTATATTGTAGTGATACTTTAAATTTCTTACTTTTAGATCATTTAAGGAGTTTCGGGAGTTGGACAGGTTTGGGGTGCAGCTTGGTTGCTAGCTGTGTGATCTTGCACGTCTTCCTCAATCAGTTTCCTGTCTAAAAATGGGGATTTATAACAGTACCTACTTCGTAGTGTAGGATCTGGCCCAGGAGAACTCAGTCGGTGCCGGTGTAATTGTTAATGACTCTTAGCAGCTGTCGCGATAATAGAAACAAGCGTGTCAACCTGAGCCCCCCTGTCTCTAGGAGAACCACCCTGTGCGGCACCCTGGATTACCTGCCCCCCGAGATGATCGAGGGCCGGATGCACGACGAGAAGGTGGACCTCTGGAGCCTTGGAGTCCTCTGCTATGAATTTTTAGTTGGGAAGCCTCCTTTTGAGGCAAGCACCTACCAAGAGACCTATAAAAGAATATCACGGGTAAGGCCTAACTAGAAGGATCCGTCCCTTGTGTCAGAGTCCTTTCTGGCTGCGATCTGAATGCTTACACCGTTCTCTCTAAACCGTGTTTTGTGACTACTTGTCACTTATTGTACTCCAGGTTGAATTCACATTCCCTGACTTTGTACCAGAGGGAGCCAGGGACCTCATTTCAAGACTGTTGAAGCATAATCCCAGCCAGAGGCCGACCCTGAAGGAAGTGCTTGAACACCCCTGGATCACTGCGAATTCCTCAAAGCCATCCAGTAGCCAACAGAACAAAGAGTCAAGCAGCAAGCAGTCTTAAGACTTTTGCAGGGGAGAACCCGTGAGCCAGGGCTCCGGGGTAATCGGTCAGAATCAGGCTCCTGACTGACATCTTACCGCCAGCAGCTGCCTGCCTGCCTGCCTGCCATCCGGAGCGCTGCAGAAAATGTGTTTTTGGTTTTTTTTACTGGGCGTACCTCCTCATTCAGAAAGATCCACTTCAATAAACAGGACACTCTGAAGTGAAAGTAGCCATGAGAATCGTGTTAACTTCTCTGGTTTGTAACTGGAGGCAGGGTTCAAGTGCAGCCGCTCTGCAGCCTGTTTGGGGTAAGGCGTCCTGGCGGAAGGTGAACTTGGAGCCGACCGGGCTGAGTGGCCCCTTCGCCCAGGAGCTGTGCAATAACCTTCCAAGTGCCCGAGTGCGTGTGTAACTTATTGGGTGGCCACGCCTGGTAGAGCTGTCAGAACGCGAATGTGCTTCTTTTAAATGTTAAAATAAAGATGTGTGTATAGACTTGACTTCCACGGCGTCCCTCAGGAGTGCTGCGTCTGTCCATCACCCGTTAAGCCTCGTTAGCTCATCATCCTCGACCACTTATCTCCTGCCCGGGACTTCTGTGAAGCAGGGACGGGTGCTCTACCTCCATCGTGGGACTTGCTTGGGACACGTGAGACGTGTGTCTCAGCTGCTTCTAAACGTTAAGGGCTTTTAAAAACCGGGTTTGATGGTTTATATATTGTTTTTATAAATACATGAAGACATACAAGATGATGACTCTTTAAAGTTCTCACGTGTGACCTTGAAACTGTAATGCATTTCCCGGGAGTTCACGGTCGTCCCTGTTAGAAGTGCTGGGCTCAGCCTGGGGCTCGGTGGGGAAGCAGCAAGGTGCCTGTGCAGCGCCGTCAGGGCTGAGGCCCCAGAGCCGGCCTGGCCTGTGCGACGGCCGGGGACCCTGTTAGGTAGGACGCCCACTGGTCGTAGGGAGGGGGCAAATTGTAATGTGGCCGTTAGGGGTCGGGAGAGGTGTCCAGAGGAAGTGGTGGCTGAGGCTTGAAGGACAAGGGAGGATTTAAAGGGTGGAGGCTGGTGCCACACGAGAGGTCCCTGCAGCCTGGGGGAGGGGACAGCAGGAAACATGGCAGAAAAGTGGGGAGCTGTGGCGGTGTGGATGGTGGAGGGTGCACTGGGAGTCAGCGCCCTGCATCCTGCAGACCGTCCCATGTGCCCACGAAGCGCGAGTCCCTGTTCTAGGCAAGGGACAGGGCAGTGGCCAATGGCGGCCCAGTTCACAGAGCTGCTCCCAGTGGGTCCTCATCCTTGGGACTCGACGGGCGAGTCAGATCACAGAAGTTGGGCTCCTGGGACGGCACGGGGGCCGAGCTGGGGGTCCACCAGAGCTTCCAGGGCTCGGGACACGGGAGCAGTGATTGGCCATCTGCGTCCCACCTGCCTACCTCTGGGCTCTGACCATGGTCTCAGCAGGATGGCAAGGGGCTCCAGAGTGGGGTGCCCTAGTTCTTTGCAAACTGACACTCCAAGTGTGGCCTTTGTCTTGATTCTCTGGGGAAGGAATGTTTGCGTCACCACAAGCCCTCCCTCCTGCCCGAACCAGGGGTCTGGGTACGACCTGTGCTCACTGCAGCTTCTGAACGTGGGGGCCCCTCAACACATCTGGCAGAGGCTGCTCCCTCTGCTCCCTGGTCACCTGGCTCCATGGGACACCTGGAGGGCATATTTTTATTATTTTGGCATTATGGCAAATGTGTAAATACACAGACATGTCCATCTGTCCTACACGCGTGACTTCACTACGTGTTCGCTGTTGGCCTGGAAACGAGCAGGTGCTATGAGGAGCAGGTCCGTCCCATTTTTGGTCTCGTCCTCTGTGCTCCTGATGTGTAAAGTTATGTTTGTCTGTAGCTGCCAATGTCCTCAACCAAAGATGGCGAACTTGACAGGGATGAAGGAAACAGTGCACGTGTTGAACTGAAATAACGCTTTTATGAGCGGCTTCCAGGGCAAGAGGCTGAATGTCAGGAATGTCCTAAATATAAAGAAGTGGCCATCACCAACTTCCATGTCAGAGCTGAAGTCACGGAAACTTCGAAACGCCACGGGTAAAACTGCAGTGTCCTGTTAGCCCACCAGGGACAGAGGAGCTGCTTTTTGGTTCCCAGTCTCGAGTGGACTGAACTCTCACCTTCCCAAAGTAGTACCATCCACCCCAGCCATACTTAACATGACATCACCACAGCAGTGATGCCAACTAAACTGTCATTTTCCCAAACAGTCCCTCAAAGCAAAGCAAACAAATGTACCGGCACATTATTAATCCAGTCACGGTGCTGTTTTGTAACCAGAAGATGAATAAAAAGTTTCATAAACTCTCCAAAGATGATATTTGTTTCTCAGAATTCAAGCTGCTCATTTTGTCAGATAAAAAAAATTAGAGGTGAACAATGGCTTGGGTTTTTAAAAGCATCCGTTTTATTCCCCTTGTTCCATAAAAAGTGTAAATACAAGCAGTTCGTACATCCTGCTGGTGAACTGACACACCGCTCTAGGTCCCCGATCCTGTGATTTCCTCATCGGTCATTCTGTTCTGACCACTGGCCGCAGGAGTGGAGTTGGGGCTTAGAAGGGAACGCTATGGCTATTTGCTGTGATAACTAGTGTTATTGCTTGTCCTTTCGTCCACTCCCATTACTCCCGACACAATCAGAGTTTTAAGATTTAAGCCCTTAGACCTGGAGGAGTCACTGTCAGCTTGTTCTGCACAGGCGGTCCCTGGATCTGCTCAGTAGGGCGACTGGTACAGAAGGAGGTGTGGAGTCCAAGGCCAAAGGTTTAAATAAGGGTGAGACGAGATGAAAATGCTGGTTTGGTCCACGTGAGGGACGACCTCGCACTAGCATCGGGCACCTCGCTCAGCTGTGTGGATGTCCTTGGACTTAGGTCCCAGAAAGGCAGTTCTAACTTTAAAGTGGTAGAACCTTTTAGCAATGGGGTAATTGTTTTAAAAGGAAAAAAAGAGATACAGATCCACTTTAGCGATCTGGCAAGTGGAGAACTCGGCCCACAAAGATTTTTATAAAAACTTAAGTGATTGACATGGGTTACTAAGAGCTATCTAGGGAACTGTCAACAGCCAGACCGTAAAACCAGGACTGTCACTTTATAGTTTTTAGTTTTCTGATTGTCCCAAATGTAATTAAACAAGCAAACAAAACAAAACTGGGAGCCAGTAAGATAAATGCAACTCAGTCCTTTGAGCAGGGCGAGAGGGCAGAACTGGTTTAGCTGGGGCTCCCGGAGCTGGAGCGGTGCCGGGCCTGATGACGGCCTGGGGGCCAAGATGCCCGGCCCACAGGAAGGAAGGAACTCCAGCATCCAGCAACGGAGAAGGCGTTCCCGCCCTCAGCCTGTGCTGTGTCACAGTTGTCTTCCATTTCTAGCAAGTGTCACTAATTTTCCTTTTTAGAGAGTGATTCAGAATCTTATTTTACTGTACATAATTTTAACTCAGTTGAAAAATAGAAGTAGTAACAGAATATCAACATTGCGATGGTAGTTCTGGAATGTCTGACCTTTGAGATACAGAGGCCAAGACTGTCTCAGCTTTCCACGTGAGCGGTATCCACATTCCTCCGAGGACACAGGCATCAGGAGCCAAGTGATGCTATTACTATTGGATAAGTCTCCGTATTTTACCTAAACAGAGACAGATGACCCTGACCTACTCTCAGGAGGTTTGAGAAAACCCATCTGAGGTTGTCAGCCCCATCCTGTCCAGATTTGAATGGGGTTGGGGACCAATGAAACATATCAGAAATACTTGCTTTTCTTTCCCCCAAACAAGTGTAATGAATGTGAAGGTGTTGATTCTAATTTAGATCCTGGTTACATATTGTTAAGTCTTAAATTCTGCTTCATTAATTGTAACACTGGCAGCTGTTTTGTAGAATATTGCATATTAAACCACAGGCAGCCTGACAACGAATATTGGAGGAAAGAGAATTTTAAATTAGCTTAATAAATCGTTGCCCTTTAAGAATTTGAGCAAAGATTAACCCCTGGGGTTTTTGCAGGAAGACCCTTACCAGTGATCTTCCAGAAGGAACGTTTCATAAGCTAACAGTTTTGAGATGATGGCTCATTTGTGACGTTTTGCTGACATTTTAGATTATGTATACACACCCTATAATGAATAGCACTAACAAAATTTCTAAAGCAAAAAATTTACCATTTTTCAAAAACGTGAATTTTGCTGGCAATTAAAACTTATGGATGAGAACATAGCAATTAGCTCCTGCGCTTTGCCCTGACCGCCCCCCCCCAAAAACCCCAAACTCCTACAACCCTAACACCAATCCAAAATGTGTAATGTAAGAGAAATAGGTTTTCAAGTCCACAATTGAAGAGTTGGTCAAGGCTTTGCAGCTGGAGGTTTAAAAAATCCCATCTTCCGAAAATATCTCACGATCAAGGGCACGGAAAGTAAGGTGATGCTGATTCTTACTGGTGCAAACAGCTTGTGGATGGCGTAGGCCACCACGAAGGTGCTTGTGCCTGCAGCCACTTTTGACTGCACCAGCGACTCCTTAAATCCAAGCTTAAGCAGAATGGCAGACATGTCCACGCCACTGGAGAGGAAGGAGGCAAAAAAAAAAAAAAAAAAAAAAAAAATATTGTGACAGCAAGGAGTGAAGACATCGACTTGGCTCTGAAATTTACAGTATTTTTAAAAATGTGATGCCAGTAGTAGATGAATAAAAAGTCTTAGAACAGAAAATTCTTATTCACAGAGACCCTTATGTGACAACATAACCCAAATACTCGTTACTGGCAACAAGCTTACCTTGAAACTACCGTGTAGAAGATGCCCAGGGAGACCAATGACATTCCGATGTGCAGTGCCACGCCCACGGCTCCATATTCTTGAAAGATCTTTTTCAGCTGCTGTGACTTGCTTTGCTTTTTCTCCTCTGGACTGCTGACGTCGCTGCCTGTCGCTGCAGGGATTTTGCTGGGGTCCTGTGCACAAACCAAAGAAGGGAGACTCTAGGGCAGGTGCAAGACGCCGGTGGTCACCACCAGCTTCCACACCCACGCAGGTCCTACCCTCTGCGCCCCCCAGTGGGAGCTCAGTTACCTGTTTTCTTACTCAGAGCTGAGGCTAAAGCCCACTTAGCCACTAAGTACAGTGAAAGGCTGGGTACTGGGTGTGATTGCCAGAATGTTGGCCCCAAGGATGTCCAGGTCTTAGTCCCCAGAACCTGGGACTATGTCACCTTATGTGGCAAAAGGATTTTGCAGGTGTGATTAAGGATCTTGAGATGGGCAGATCATCCTGGACTTCTGAGTGGGTCCCATGTAATCACGGGGTCCTTATAAGTGAAGAGAGGGAGGCCGGAGGGTCAGAGAAGCAGATGTGGGGACAGAAGCACAGTCAAGGGCACAGTCAAAGGCGCGATAGTTGCTAAGCCAGGAGTCAAGTAATGCCGGTGCCTCTAGAACCTGCAAAAGACAGGAAATGGGTTGTCCCCCAGAGCCTCTAGGAGCCAGGCCTGCCTTACACCTTGACTTTGACCCTGTGAGACCCAGTCTAGGTTTCTGACTTCCAGAACTGTAAGATAATAAATAGTGTGTGTGGTTGAAGCCATCGGGTTTGTGGTGCTCTGTTAACAGCGACAGGAGAAACTAGCACCCAGGGTTCTCACACTTGGGGACAATAACGACACTTCGTTGAGCACTTTCTCTGAGCCAGGCAGTGTTCAGATGTGTCTCTCCATCTGCCATCTGCTTTCAGCCTTTTAAAATCTGGAGTAGATACTCTGTTCTTTCCACTTTATTGGGGGGCAGCACAGGCTTAGAGGGGCTGAAGAACTAGCCCAAAGTCACAAGACTAGAACCCAGGTCATCTGAGTCCACAGCCTGAGCACACGGCAACCATGCCAGATGCTACAAAACAAGCGCCACGGGTGCAAAATAAAGCAGAGCGGAAGCTGCGGTGTGTTTCCTTCCAGAATCGAGATTTAGCCCGGGATCCAAGCAGATAGAGGGAGGCTGATTTCCAGGCCACAGATGCACTGGCTGGAGTTGATACAGAATCAGTTCATTGTACGTGGTGTGTTAACTACAGGGTCTGGAATGTTAGAAACAAAAAACCCAACAACACTGGATTAAAGAACAACAACAAAAACCAAACCTCCTTCCCAATATGGAGAGTGCCGTTTTTATCAAAAGATTTAAGGGCAGGTCTCAGCGCTCTTCTCAGAGGTGGTATCTGGGTCAGCTCTAGTTCTGGCTTTTGCAGAGGCCCAGGAAGGCTTCACTTTTGTGTTTTTATAGCTTGCTGCCACCAGCCACACTTCAGAGGCCAGAGGGAGGACAATGACAGCCCAGAATCCCCAGCAGGCAGGGCCAGGACCCCCAGAACGAAAATGAAATCATGCAGGGCCCACCGCGGGGCTGCACACAGCAGCCGCCTCCAAACTCCACGAGGTGCACCTGGGCCTGGAGGGGACCTCCCAGCCCTGCCTCAACCTGCTCCAGGAGGAAGGCTGAGCACTTAAGTCCTGGGGAGGCCCAGTTGGCTCAGATTCCGTTTTCCCAGAATCATCCTTGACTTTTAATCACACACAACAGCTACTCATTTGCCCCTCCTTCCCAAGAAGTCTGTACAAAACTGAAATTTATTAAAGGTCTTGACCCCCCAATTCAAAGAGCATCTCTTTTGTTCCCAAACTGTAGTTGGAAGTGAGAAAAACAAAATGCGCAGTAGCTGTGGCTTTGGAATGAAGCCTCGGTTTCATTCAAGGCTGCTCACAGACCTGGGGATTACGTGCTAAGGTGACAGGGGTGGGGACAAACAGTATTGCCTTTAGCTTTTGAGCACTTTCGGATTTATGGAAAAAAACACTTTAAAAAAAGGTGAGGGCCAGTGAAATCCAGTATGGCGTTATGGGGTCCCAGGGACTGAATGCCAACAGGCGTAAGGCATGACAGCTTTTGAAAGGTTTTAGGAAGACACCAGTGTTCTCAGGACAGGCCCCTTCTACTGAGCCTGGCGCTTTACAGGCATCGTCACAATCCTGTGACGTGGCTACCCTGTCGCCCCCTCTTTTGACAGACAGGAGACAGACAGGTTTGGGTGGAAGCGATGAGCTGCTGGCAGCGCCTGGACTGGTTGCCGCGCTTGTCACCACGAGGCCACATGGCTTCTAAAGTCACCAGCAGACTCCCATTCAGGTCCTGCAAGAGTTGAACACTCCTAAAGGAAGGTACTTCCAGAACTTCAGGGCGCTGGAGGGGAGTAGGAAAACTATACTCGATCTCCTTTTGGTTGGCCAGCACACGTGACCTCTGCTGACTCTAAGCCTTCGCTGGTCCCTGCCGCTCACTGGCCAGAAAGGCTGCTCATCTGATAAACAAGCCCCGCCTAGCTTTTGGCAGCCCAGGAAGGCCGCAGATGGGAGAACTGCCAGACTGCAGGGCCTGATAGGACGAACAATCTACCGTGTGCAGTTCCAAGTGCCAAACAGCATTCTGAGGGGCGCTGGTGACGGTTAAAGCCCCTTTCATTTCCCACCCTTGACACCTGGCCCTATCTCCATTCACCAGTACTGAGTGCAGCTATGGAGGGCCCTTTTCTTTACAACCCCTGTTTTGGCAAAAGGCCTTTTGGCCAAAAAAAGAGAAATAAAAAGGCAGGCAGATTTCCAGCTACAGAATAACCAGCACCTATTGCGAGACAATGGAAGAGACAAAGTTCAAACACAATGGACCATTTCCTGTTAGCCAGTGTCACGGTGAGTTGTTAACTTTCTAGAGTTAGAATCTTACTTGGACAATTTTCTTCCTTTCATCTTGGTATAAGGAAATATCTTTAAGCATTGTGAGCTGTGCATTTTTCTTCCTGACCCTAGAGAAGACTAAAGCTAAAATAATTTACGAGGCGGTGACTTGCAAGGAATGGAAACTTTTCAGACATTCATTTCTTCGTGACAGATGAGGAGAGTCAGACGGAGCAGTGACGGATTTTGATTAAGACCACAGAATTAGTGAGTAAAGAATGCAAGGATCTGAGACCACACTCATACCACTGTACACACATATCACACACACACATACACACTCACACTCACACACACACTTGCCAGGGCCTGGACTGGGGACAAGGTTGATGTGGCTTCTGGGACAGACAAGCAAGTAAGATTATTCCAGATGATGAATGCGGAGATCTGCACCCATGGGGCTGAGGGGATAGTGGAGGCATCTAAGGCATCAGTGATGGCTCCGGAAGGCTCCCTGGAGGAAGGGACAGCTGGGCTGAACCATGAAGAATCACAGGAGGCAGCCAGGTGTGTGTGTGGAGCGCCGGATCCCTGAGCATCCCTGAGCTTCTCCGAGCATCCCCAGCCTGGGCTCAGGATTTAGAGACAAGATCTACTGTCTGTCTGATGGGCTGGCATGGTTGGCACTGTGCTCAGGCCTGCACCAGCTCATGGAACTGTCTCCCAAACTCTTGATGGGAAGGTGTTATTTTTAACCTTCTGAAAGGTCAGCGGAGAGGCTCAGAGGCCTTCAGCGCTTGGGGTGCAGTCCCACCGCTGGGGAGTGGAGGGGCCGGATGGGACCCAGGCAAAGGGACTACAGGGCACAAAGCTTGAGGCACTGGCAGGACAGGAGGCCGGGTTCTGCGAGTCCCAACTTTCTGGTCCTTTAAGGGGACGCACTTAAAGGAAAAACAACTGCAATGGATTTTTTTTTTCTTTTTTTTTTAAGAAAAGCCGGGATGACCATTCTGACTGGAACTCTGTTTTCACTTAGCATATGAAATGACACTGCATTCTTTGCGCGAGTCTCACCTGAAGTCTGAGAGCGAGGCCTGCTCTTTGGGTGAGATAATAGGGAGCAGCAGCAAGAGCCGGGGGCTGTCAGGGACAGCAGCCCCCGCCGCAGCCTTTCTCCCTGGCCCCGCGCGGAGGCTCCGAAGGGACTTCAAACGGGAACAACTCTGACGGCCCAGCGAGGACGTTAATACCAAGCGCAGGCCCCATCTACAATGCCCTCGGCGGTGGCGGGCGCTTTGGGAACCTGGGGCTCCCTCCGCTGGAGGCTGTGACCCTGGGCGGACCACCTCATCTCGCCAAGTCTGTTTCTCCGGCTGTCAGCTGGGAGGATCACTTGCTCGGTTGTAGAGATTTAGGGTCTGCAGACCCGGAAGGTGCTCGGTCTCGGGCAGCCGAGCGTGCAAAGTTCCCCTTCGGCGGAGGTGAACCGGGGATCCGGGAGCCCGGGGACCCGAGATCGGGGCGCCTGGGGAGGGGGTTTGGGGATGGGGAGGCTTACCAGGCGGCCACCGCAGTGCCCGCGGGCCATGCACAGCAGCTTGGAGTCCGGCCTCGGACGGAGCAGAGGCAGGAACGAGGGCGGCGGGGCGCAGGGGGCGGTGGCGCTCAGAAGCCAAGTGGCGCGAGGCTGGACCCGGGCGCCCACCCTGCCCGCCGGGCCCAGCAGCGCCAGCAGCCGGGCCATGG